ATTGATCTGAATAAAGCTATTGATCATACATCACTATATAGAATAAGCTTGAAAGAACTTGAGACAGTTAAGCAGTATCCTGAGATCAATTTAGAAAAAAACTTTATCTCATCTGTGACTTCTTCATTTACTTCTTCAATTATTATAGCTTATACTATAGGCAAGCTGAGGTTTTGTATAGACTATCACTGATTTAATATAATTTCAAAAAAGAATCAATATTTAATTCTACTAGTTGATGAGTTAATAAAGTGATTAAATAAAGTCAAGTTCTTTATCAAATTAGATATTCATCAAAACTTTCATTGAATATATATGCATTCTGAAACTGAAGATCTGATTATTTTTAGAATGTGTTATGAGATCTATAAGTATAAAGTCATATCCTTTAATCTAAGCAATAGCCCAGTGATCTTTCAACACTTTGTGAATATTATCTTCTTTGACTACTTGAATCAGTTTATGACTGTCTTTGTGAATGATCTACTTATCTATAGTAAAATTTTGAAAGAATATAAAAAGCTTGTCAAGAAGATATTAACTAGATTATAAGAAGCTGAACTACAGATAAGCATCTCAAAATGTGAGTTTCATATTCAACAGATAAAGTACTTGAGTTTTATTATCAATGATCAAAGAATCAAAGTGAACTTAGAAAAGATTGCAGTGATATCAAAATGAATAGTGCCTAGTACAGTCAAGAGAATTCAATTCTTCTTGAGATTCTGCAACTTCTATAAGTATTTTATCAAAAATTATAGTCAGATTGTAAAACTACTGTTTAAACTCACTCAGAAGAATCAATCTTTTAAGTAAAATGAGATCTGCCAGTATATTTTTGATTAAATGAAAAGAGTTTTGTCTGAAGCTTCTATGCTTTATCATTATAACTCAAAATAAAAGACTCAGATAAAAATTAATATCTCAGATGATATTATAGCTGATATTTTATTTCAGTTGTGTGAGGATGAGCAGTGGCATTCAGTTGTTTTCTATTTTGCTTCAATAAGTAAAGCAGAGAGAAACTATGAGATTCATAACAAGAAAATACTAGTAATTATAAAAGCACTAGCAGAATGATATGCTGAGCTAAAAGGCCTTCAGAGAATAGAGAGATTCAACACCTTGACTGATCATAAAGCTCTTGAGTACTTTATGACAACTAAGAATCTCAATACTATACAAGCATAATGGACAGAGTTTCTCTTTTGATTCTACTTTCTAATTCAATATCAGCTGAAGTGTCAGAATACACTAGCAGATACACTGAGTCAGCCAGAGGTTCAGAAAGATAGCAAAAGCACTCAAATGCAACTATTTCTCAAGTCAGAGAGATTGAACCTAAAGATCATCAAGGAATCTGTTAAGATTAAGGCTGTAAATACAGATACACATATTCTTGATGAAGTCAAGGCAAGAAACAAAGAAGTAGAATTACTGAGACTAGAATGTGAAAAAGCATAATAGAGAGAATAACACTAAGAGCTGATAGATGAACTTTTGTATTTTGAAAGATATTTAGTAATATTAATTGAGAAAGATTCCACTCTCTGAGCACATCTTCTAAAAAAATTCACAAGTAGTTATCTACAGCACATTCTGAGAAGAAAATATTACACTTGCTAGTAAAAGCAAGATACTACTGAAATGACTGAATCAAAAATGTTGATCAGTATGTAAACAATTATTTAGTGTGCTGAAGAATAAAGATCTTTCAGAATAAAACTTCATAATTACTGAAGTCACTATCAATTCTCAGCAAAGTTTGATAGCATATCTCAATGAACTTTATGAATGACTCTATGATAAAAAGAGATCATAATGCAATATTGATGATTATTTGTCAACTAAGTAAGAAGTCTATATCTATTTCTATCATAAGAAAGATAGATGTTAAAAAGTTAGTGAGACTGTTCTTGAAGCACTACTATGAATATTATGAAGCATCAGATTCAATTATGTCAGACTATAAGTCACAATTTATCTCAGACTTCTGAAGTAAGTTCATCAAATGATTGAGAGTTAAGCTGAAGCTTTCATTAACTCATCACATGCAAACAGATAGTTAGACTGAGATTATAAATCAATATCTGATAATCAAACTCTGTTCATATGTAAATTACTATCAGAATAACTAAGATGAGTAATTGTCAATGATGAACCATATGACTAGAGCTCTGATGAATGAATTAACTGAGATGACACTTTTTCTAAAAGTTTATAAATATGAATTTCAAATGTTCTTCAATTGAAAGTTACTGTCTAAAACACTATCTAGAGAAGAGAAGCTTAAATAAGAAAATACCAAGTAGCATGTTATTCAAATGAAGAAAATCTAAAAGCTAGTAGTGGATAATGTAAAAAATACACAAGAAATTATAGAATTACAGATCAATAAGCATCACCATGAGTCAAACTTTGAGATAGAAGATAAGATCTTCTTGTCACTGTGATGGCGTAGAACAGACTTATTTTCAACTTTCTCAACAGCGTAATCACCACAGGCCGAGGCGATCAGTCATCATACAGGCTGAGATGATTAGTCATCATACAAGTCAAGGTGATCAGTAAATAACAATTGCCTAAGCAATGGCAAACAAACCTACAATTACTCCACATATGAATAATATATAAATGTGGCAATTACCTGGCAACAGTGCTAAAGAAAAAGAGCTATATAAACAGAGTCTTCCTTAAACTCATCTTTTAGAAATTATCGTAATATTCATTCAGATAACTTATTTAGTTGGCAATTGAACATCAATTCATCTGCACCTAGCTGAAGCTATGACAGTCACTAAAGAACTATAGAATTTAATATCTCAGCAAAAAGCTCATAGAGCAAAATAAAGATCTCTTTGAGATTATTGAGAGAGTAGACAATAGCTACAGACTAAGACTATTAAATAGCATGAAAATTTACTTAATATTCTCTTCTGATAAGCTACAGAAGACTGTGAATAACTCTCTATCAGAACAGCTAAATGAGACATCAGAATCAGTTAAGATATAAAAAAAAAATAATTGAGAAGTTGAGAATATTTTAGCAAGCTGTATCTTTCATAAGAAGCTTTAATATCAGATAAAATAACTAGAATTTGATGAAGATTCAATATGATATTCAGCATAAAATCTAAAGAGATTATCATATCTGATTTGATAATTTCATACTGTAAATTCAATGAAAGCATGACTCCTGAAATGATTAAATAAATAACTGAAGGCTTGAGAAAAGAATGACTATCTAGTAGATGAAGTAAATAATAATCTACTGATATGAGAGTATATCTAGACTTTAAAAGAAGGTAATATAATGATGTAGAACAGGCTTACATTCAATTTTCTTGATAGTGTAATCATTATAGACTGAGATAACTAGTCATCATACAGGCTAAGGTAATTGATCATCATAATAGATTAAGATAATTGATAAATAATAATTATCTAGACAATGATAAACAACCTCATAATTACTCTGCATATAAATAATATATAAATATGATAATTATCTAGTAATAGCACTAGAGAAAAAGAGCTATATAAACAGAGCCTTCTCTGAACCTATCTTTTAGAAATTATCTTAGTATTCACTCATATAGCTTATTTAGTTAGCAATTGAATACTAGTTCATTTGCATTTAGTTGAAGCTGTGACAATTTTAACAGCTTCATTTATAGCATTTACAGGTTCAGATTCAATAATAAGATCTTTATCAAAAATAACATCTCTAGCAATCTCTAATTTGCATTCTTATAAGTCTTATATATGATATTAATACAGTTTTTGGTAACTCATCAATCATTACTTCTTGTTGTTATAGTGCAGCTGCTTGTATATAAATTAAGATTAATTTGTTCTAATCTCAATCATACTCAGTTGCTCATGTTGATTTGATCTGATCACTAATTACTTCTATATATTTGACTGCTCGTTCATTCTTCATTTTAATCCTCAGTTAAATATTTTTATCATAGTTGCTTAGTTAAATAGATGAATTGAAGCTGTTGTCTTATTATCATTCTGACTCTAGTTGAGTTATAACACTTGTCATCTGTACTGTTTATAAGCTTATTTGTCACTTTCAAGTCCTTCTTATAAACTTTACTTTCTCATTTGCAGATTCAATGAACTGACAATTGAACCTCTGTCTAGGCTTCAAAAAATATCAATAAATTATTATCATTGTAGTTAAAAATCTTTGTTGATATAGAGAATATATTTATCAATATTATAGCTACTTATATTACTTTATCTCAAAGCTTTTTGATAAGTTTACTATTAAATAATAGACTTTTTATCTTATTTATTACTAACTGATTCGCATGTTCTGCAGGGCCATTTGATTGAAAAGTATTTGAGATAGTTACTTCATATACTATTCCTCAATTTTTGCAAAATATTTTAAAATTATCACTTTTGAACTCTTCTCCATCATCTCAGTGCAAGGTTCATATAGATTGTTGAGATGTCACCTCAATTATATCAATAAAGTCTATAAGTACTAATGTAGCCTCTGCTTTCATAACAATTAGAATAATTTATCTAAAATGAGTGATGTCATTTGTAATTCTCATTCAATATCTTGTACCTTCTTCTATGAGTAGATTATTTTCATTATATAATATTTTATCTATACTTACAAGGTCTATAAAAAATTATATTGCTAGTTTAATAGCTCTAATCATTGAAGCAAAAGGCAAATGAGTCATTTTCACTTGCATATATATCTTGCAGAATGATAAAGTCTTTTGATCTATTATTCACATCTCTAGTCTAGAATCTACAGTTATTTTTAATATATTCATTAAGTTTATATGACTCAGCTTTTGATGTTATTATATTATTATATATTTTACAATATTGATATCATTTTTAAGCAGATTCATTAGTAGATTATCATTTAATTACAAGATATATACAGGTTCAAAATTGCAATTTGATTTTATAAAATAAATTAAATCTTTTAATGCTGATGATTTCTCTACTATATATATATTTATTCATTCAAATACATTGTAAAACTTATTATTCTATTATAATATATTATTAAAATTAAATGATTATTACTATGCATTAATTGTTTAAAAGTATAACTTTTATATATGAGTTTATTGAGACTTATAAAGTTGACCTCTAGCTTCAAAATATAACATATATTATTCAGTTGAATATTCACATTCTCAGTTGAAATACTCATTTTCTCTATAGCTGCTACTAAGACTATAGATTCATCTGCCATCTTTAGTATGACATTTATCCTCTGAAGTATAACTTTAATAATATTCTTTATAGGTATGGTGTAAACTTCTAATTCAGAGTTTAAGACTCAAGTAATCTTTATCACTTTATTACTAAAATATACTATCTCTTTAATACAAAATACTTATTTTATAATACTATGAACTGAAGCAGTATTGTCAATATTCTTATTTTTATTCTCATAAATATTTTTCTTTTTATAGTTTATAGAGCATTTTTTCAGATATTTTATTCAACAATTAGCTTTGAGATGCTCTATCTTCTGACAGTAATAGTATATCTTTTTCATATTATTACTATTCTACTTGAACTTCTTATCTTTGCTTTTATCTTTAATTTTCAAATTCTTATTCTTACTTTTATTCTTTTTTCATAAATTTTGAATATTATTTGTAGAATTTCTTATATTTATTATAGCAGTATTCTGTTTAATAGCTGATAAGTATAATAAAATATCTTAATACAATCTTATAAAATTTATCTCAATATTATAACAGTTGATATCTTTTTCAGTATGATTTATTCTATTTCTAATGAATGATGCTCATTCAGCACTGATATCAATTAACAAATTGTCAAAAAGTGTAAAATCTTTAATTTTATATCTTAAACAGATATATTTAATTTGAATGATGATCAGATATTTTATAAATACTCTATATAAGTCTTTCAACTTAGCTATCAACTATCAAGCTAATCAACTTTTCAAAAAAATAAGTGTAGTAAATTATAGATCTTTTTGAGAAATTCTTTTCTATGATTATTTATAGAATATATATTGACAACTGATGATCTGATAATATTGTAAAATAAGATCTCATTGTAAATAAGATTGCAGATTATATATAATTATAGAATTATATATTTTTTTTAATTTAAAAATATTATATATTTATATTAACATTATTTTCAGAGACAGATTATCTATCATTGAGAATATTATTAATTTTAAATTATTTAATAATCAGTAGAATCTTTTTTCTTCATATTAAATAATTTATAAAATTAGTCAGAATGATAGATTTCTTGATATACTTCACTTGATCTTTAAATTCAGTCAAGATCTTTATTATAATAGTAGTTTTATCTTTTCTCTGTAAATAGTTTACAAGATCTTTTGTGAGAACACTAACATGAATGAACTAAGTGTTAAAAGAAAGTGTGAGAAGCTCTATAACTAAGATCATAAGAGGGTAAGTGTATAAACACTGTGAGTATTATAAAGAGAAGAGAATAGTGATAGATGAAATGTATATGTAGAATTTAATAGTAGCTAACTACTGAATTCCTCAAAAAAATTTTGAAGATTTAAAGTATTTATATATATAAATGAGTAGCAATAGATTTTATCTCTAATCTTTCATGAAATGAGAAATTAGTAATACAATGATCTAAATCTTTATGAAGTGCTAATTCTATCTTTCAAAAAGTGCTGATGCTAAAGAATTGATTTTTGAGAAGTGCTGATCTATGCTGATTCTAAATGCTAAATTTTGAGATGATGTTGATTCTTTATGAGATGCTGATTCTAAAGTGCTTTGATAAGCAGTATGAAGATAAATGCTTTGGTAAGTAAGTGTAAGATCTTAGAGGATTTGATTCTAAAGTGCTTTAATAAGTAGTATGATAAGTAGTATGAGGACAAAAAGCTAGTATAAAGAGTCTTAGCATCACATCTTTACTCATTTCGTTACTGCTAGCATTGATAATGAGTGTCTCTCTGCTAGCTCTCATCATTTCAACTTCTTACTGAAGTTGTGCAATCTTTAATCTCATCAGAGTTTCTTCACTAACTTCTGACATCTAATCACTAAAGTCAACTGTATTCTCTGACATTTCATCAATCAGATCATCATATGTGTTATTAGACTTGTCTAATCTCTTCAGAATTGTCTTGTCTATCTCAAACACTTCAAAGACACTTCTACAGACTGTAATAGATGTAGACAGTGAATCTGCAAACTTTGAAGTTCTATTCTTCAGAGTTCTATTCTCAAATTCTCAGATTTGTCTTCTTTTTGACATGTATTCTTCTGTCAAATCTGGCATTCCATCCGAATGTAGGTTGACCATTGATGTCATCCAATTCTGAGGTTATAAGCTTCTTTTCAAGTGTTTTTGTTGTTCATTCGCAGTGGAAGACCTCTAATTCAAGTGTCTCATAACCTTTTAAAGGACCGATATCAACCTTGTTGCATTGTGGGACTCTAAGCTACTGCTAATAAATATATGTGCACGTGACCTCGGGTAGCCGGGGAATCCTCCAACATAAGTTGTCCAAGGTTGGGTAATGTATTCTGATGCCGCGCAAACACGAGGGCCAACTGTGTGCCATATGGACCCTTGGCGCTAGTTAACTTTCAGCGTCAAGGGTTCAAGGATCGCTCACCGCTGTCAGTATATTAATCACGTGATTATATATCTGGCCACGTTAATTTGCGGCGGAGGTGCATGATTTGATTGCATCCTGAAGATACTTTGCAACAGACGCGCTCTTTGAGAGAGTTGTGGTTTGTTTTATTCTGCCGCCCCTTTTGAGTCCAACTACCACCGCCTTTTGTCCTGCGTTCTTCAAACCTCAACCTCAACAAACTTAATCCCAAACTTCAAGATATCATCATCAGTGCTTATCATCGCACTCAATGCCAAACATACTTTGGTTAGCATTCCCTTGTTAGGCTTTCCTTTCTGCCGTTTCAACGGGCTTTCGATAAGATAATCCCAGACCTTTTGCCCTTCCGCTCCCTTGATGTATTTGCCCTCTAATTACCTCATCATTAATCTGTGTGACATTGACTCCACCAGTTGATGTACATAGCACAGCCTTGCTATTAGGAATCAAAAGGCTGCCAAAAGGCCCTGGTAACTCAGCCATCATTCATTCCTACGTTACAGAGCACACGGAGCAGATCTCTCTCTCTCCTTTTGCATCTTAAAAGTCTAAGCTTTTAATCACTAACTAGTTACGTGGTTCCTCCGTAAGTTCGTTGTTTTTATGGTTTCTGCTCTTTTTCTGCTGGTCCCCATTGATTGGTCCGTTTGGTGGCTCTGGAGATACGGATCCAAGCTATGGGGACCAAAACAATATCAAACCAAGGTTTGACCGTAGGCTTTTCCCCCCAATCCCTTTCTCTGCTCTCAAGAGCCTTTCTGCCCCCAGTTGCTGGCTAGGCCACTGACTTTGCCATCCATTTCAATTCTCACTTTTATTTTTTATCTTTTCTTTTTATTGTATCTAATTAATATATTTTAGCTGATTTTCGAACCAGGGTCGGCTGTCTGCGGAACTCCCACTCCTCGATGCTTCGTTCAGTGTACGTTGCCTTGTCCTCCTTAATTCGCCTCTCGCGTTTCTCCACCAACTCCGACCATAAAATACCGATTAATTCTGTGATCTGATTGATTGCTCCGTTCCTATTCTCGCGGTGCACACTCATAGGACTTTTAGGCCCTTTCTTTCTATCTTTTTCTTTTTCGTTTTCTTTTCTTTTTCTTTGTTTTTAAAACACAAACTTCCCTTGAGCCAAGGCAGCTAAAACTTGAGTTGAAGAGACCGGGTGGCTCCATCCATGTCTCCAGTGATTCCAGTCTCCACTGAATGAATCTCTTCAGATCCTAAATTATTCTCACCATAACTACACATATTCCCTTGGATGTCCCCAAGCCTTCCCTTCTGCCCATCTCTTAACAACTCCTCAACCCCGCGATTCCTCTTCCTTCTCTTCCCTCTCTCTTCCCTTTTTCCCCCTTTTGGTTTATTTGATCTGTGTCTCGTCACCCCATTACCTCTTTTGGGTTATCACCATTTTAACGACTTCTTAGTTTTTCTTTTTTCTTTGCGTTTTTTTTTTTAAACAGAACTATTTTGCTAGCCTTCCTCGCTCCATCTTCATTCGTCCATTCCCTTGTGAAAGATTTTAGCTTCCAAGCCTCATCCCCTGAAACGCTGTCACTCTTTTTGCTTGGCTAACTAGTAATTAATTGTACCAAACTTCCGTCAAGCATAATCCTCGTCGTCCCCTCGCTCCGACCACTTTTCAGATATTTTTTGTTCCTCAAATTTTCCTCCTTTCGCCTAGGTGCCATTTCTCTTCCCTCTTTTTACCTCTTCTTCGTAGTCCCAATTAGCCACTCCGTATATTTCGACTTCTTTCCCCGCTGGGGCTATCCTTCTGCCGCCCGCCCCCTTTGCGAATAGCCCCACCTCCTTTTCCACCTTTTAGCCTTTTGCTGTGGTTTGCCGATCCAAACCACGAACAGCAGTGGTCTTAGCTTCGTTCCTCTAGCGACACAACCTCGTCACCTCGACAAGATCCCCTTCCTTCCTGACTTCCTCAGTCACAGCTTCAAGGACAAGTCACACAATTGTGCGAGAGAAATTTGCCAATTCCCCCGCACCCATCTGCTGTATTTCTTTCCAGTGACGCCTCTTCGGCCTCTCAGAGGCTAGAAGAAATCTAGGCTATTCCCTTTCCTGCCTCGAGCTCCCTCCCACCCCCCCCAGGTGGTAAAATCCCACAATGCGGAAAGGCTGTCTCATATTCATCATCGTCAATGTCCTCATCGTTGCATTCCTCGTGCGCAATGTCTTCACGCTCCTGACGCTCCTTATCGAGGATGCCTCGGCTGATGCCATCCGCCGGTCTGACCTCCCTTCGCCGAATTCGAGTCTCTTAGAGACACGTCCCCAACTTATCCCGAAAATTATCCATCAGACATACAAGAATTATTCAATTCCTCTCATATGGCAAGAAGCTCAGAAGAGTTGCATGGACCTTCATTCCGATTACGAATACAAGGTACGTTTGTTTTTGAGTGGGGTTTGTTGGGTGTGGTGCTGCGTGGAGATATAAGGCGGATTCTTTGCCGTTGGCTGGCCGACGACATGAACCACCCCTAACTACAATTACGGTAATCACTGAGCATGTCAATTGAGGCTAACCACTTGAAAAATTTGTATTCGATTTAGCTATGGACGGA